TTAGAAAATAATAGTCAATTATTTTGTATAGAATAACACTTTAATAGTCTTTTTTGGTCTCTTCGACATACGTTTTCTTACAATTTACAGCCAAAAAAATAACGTGTGCTCATTAGTTTCAGAATTTCTGCCGTGCTTCAAAAATCTTCAAATATATCACACTAACACTTTACAGAATTATCATCTTTAGTCTGCAACTTTTTTTAAATCAAACAGAAACCCAAAAATATTTGAAATTGTTTAAACATTAATTTAAGTGAAGAAAGAGCCTGATCAACTATAAATTAGAATAATCAAATCTAAAAGTTTCTTCAATTGAATATGTTATTTCATCATTGACATTTTCATAAAAAATACTTGAATACGCTTTTCATGAAATATATGTTCAACTTTCATTTGATCAACAACTTTTTTAGCAGTAATCTTGTCAAAATTTAAATTCAAATTCTCTATATGTTTTAAAAAATAAAATAAACGTTTTCAAGTGACTAGTAGCTGCATCAATAGACATATCCCCGCTTTACAATATTTTACTTATTCTATTAATAACAGACAATATGATGTACCAAACAACCATATTAAATAAGAACTCAAAATTCACATTGTTAGAAGATTAACTTTTAGCATCACTAAATGACTTAGGGTCCTCGTTTGTTTCCACCAAGTTTTTTAAAGCGTCTTTTATTTGCGCTTGAAATCTTATTGCTTTAAAAGTTTAAATTTTACTTTCCCAACGTGTTTGTATCACCAAAAAGAAAAGTGCTACATAATTTTTTTTCAATGCATGTTAAGTACTTCTACAAAATAAAGAGTGAACTAACCCAGCATTTACATTTTCTTTAATGAAAATACATATAATATTTTTTTCAAGGGGACCGTGGAACCTTAAGCGATTGCCGGTCCCATCTATCTATAACAAAAGTCGGCACTGCTTCCATGAACTTGTGAGAAACAAGTTGACATTGGAAAATTTGAGTGTTACGACTTACAACCATACTGGACATTGGTTTTCGGCTTGGGTCAATCACTTATGCCGACTGTTGGAAATGTTGTTCCAGTACAGTAGATGTTATGAGTATTGCTATTTAATATCACTGGTATTTAATACCATGAAATTACAGGTTCAATTAAATGAATCTCATAATTTCACATTTAATTGAATCTATCATATAATGCCACATAAACCGATGTTCTAATATCATCGGTGCCAGATAGTATTATTCCGATGTTATGGATGCATTTTATATTTCTATATGAGTTTTATTCCATTTTTAACGATACTCGTATTAACATTAAAATTGTATTTACTAATCTGTTCATAATTCAATTCAAAGTGAATGGAAGTTTAGCTCCTGTTGGCTTACCCAAATTATTTATGATGACATTTAGGGCCTACTTGGGAATTTATTTTTTCATTAGTTTGACCGATTTCGGATGGCATCGTTTACGAATGGTTGCAAAAATCGATACTTACTAATTTTTTTGACAACCAATTTTGGATAATTTAAAAATCACCCAAAATTGATAGTGTAATTTCGACAGTTTTTCTCAACCTACTAAAATGGTGGATTTTTGTCATTTCTCATATTCACTTACAATTTTACTATTTATAAAATAATTAATTCTAACCTACATATTTTGTTTAAAATTAACTTGTAAATAAAAATTCAACTAAAATTTATAAGCAAAAAATTACTTTATAATTGAAAAATTGCTTATAACACTTGTGTAAAAATTTGGTATAAAGTAAAAATACTACCAATAAGATAAAACTTATAAAATATAAAAAGTTACTTATAAGTAAAAGTCACTTACTTTAAAATTTAAGTGAATATTCAACATTTTAAGTTAAATATATACTTATATGTAAAATAATTATTTATAATTATAACACTTATGAGGAAAAAATTTCGTACAAGAAATTATAAACTGAAAATTTCACTAAAGGGACATATATTTAAGTTTATTCTTTTAAAAAACTTTGAGAATCGGTACATGCGATAAATTTGCAAAAATGGGTTGAATTGTTTTATCAATCACTATTAAAATAACTCAAAACTAGTTCGCTCGTATAGCTGACCAACTCTAACATTGAATTTGAAAATAATTGCTTTTTTCTATGAACACTGAATAGTATATTCCAATTGGATGTTCGAATTACAATTTTTGTATTTTTGTACAACGAATCTAACCTAACACAAAATCTTTTTCTATAACAAAAAAATTAATATCATCTTTTGAGAAATTTGAATCCTGCAGATGAAGCAAAACAATCCAGCTCATCTTTGAAAAGATTCATTAATTTCAATAATTTAGTAACCTTTGATTTTGTTCTTTCCCCACAACCGACTTGTAACACAACCAATAATTTTTCAAAAGCCCCAAGCTGCATCACCTCAACAACAGCATTATCATTCTCCCCCATGCATAGTTTCCATAGGATGGAAACCACAAACCATGTCGCCGTATCTGATACACGCAAGATCTTCTTTACGAGTAATGGCATGATTAACGCATTTTCGTATATGCCTTCTCTTCCTTGATCCCGGCTTGAAATACTGTCCAAAATACCTAGAGCCTTCTCACAAGTACTTTTGTCACCATCAACAAGGATTTCAAGAATGCAAGGAATTAACCCTATTTCCACAAACTTTAATGTGACCATTTCACTGTTTTCTGATAATGTCATGTGGTAGATAACCACTAGACATGCCTTGGTAGCTGCAGGGCAGATTGGTAATTTCACAATCTGAAACAATGCATCCACAATTCCTTCAATTTCCATTAGGCTGTTAACAAAACTTTGATTTTCAGAAACCAGTTCTTTCAAGACTAGAACTGCATGTTTTCTTGAAGAAAGGTCATCCCCCTTCAAAAATAATGCAATACAGCGTAGAGAAATTGCTGATCCCAGCTTGGATTTGCCTTTTTCGCCTAGTGGGATCGTCCATGTGAGTGCAGATAAAATTTCCTTCAGTAAATCAGTGAATTCTTCCCCCGAAAAACTCGCAAAAAGCTCGAAACAAGCTGCCAATGCACAACCAGCTCCATTCTGCACAATGCATCGCTTGTTACGGTCACTTTCTTTGGCCAAATTCTTCATCTTTCTAAGCAAATCGAGGCACTTTTTGGCGTCACGCTGCCTTGCAGCCTCTATTCTCGAGCAAATCTCCAAAACATCGTACGGGGTGATCGGAATTCGAGGAGTTGGTATTCTTTCAATGCCATAAGCCTTGTTCTCCACACACCAATCTTGAGTCATCTTCCTTATGGCATGATTTGGGATTTGATCAAAGCTTCTAAGTACTTGATTCGTCACCGGGCAAGTTTTGTTCCCGGCATCAATCCACTTCTCGATACATTCTCGATCATACGTGATCCCAGTAGACAATGTAACTGGATCTTTCATTAGATCAAGTGAAATTGGGCAGCGAAAATGAGTTGGAATGGAAAGTTCCATATCCAGAAACTCGTCCTTCCTGGCACCGCCATGGCCGGCTCTCCTTCTCTTCCACCAGAAAGCCATATTCATAATATATCTAAAAACAAAACCTTTTGAAAGATATCAAATATCCGAACCAATCTTTTGTAATCTATATGTATGTAGTTGTAATGAGTAGAAAATTTGATGGGATTTCTGGAATTAGAATGTTAGTTCATGTGATCATTGTGATATGTATATATATATACTGGGGAGGGGATGAAGGGATTTTGGAGGGTCAAAGGTGGGAAATAAAGGAAATGTTCAAAATACTAAGGTAAGGAAATTAGGAAAGTTAGACTTTGTAGTGTTTGAATGGAATATTTGACCGTTGAATATTTGAACATGTGATTGTATGAGTTGGCTCAAGTTTGACTGAAACCGACGACCAGATTCTTTCAACAGTTGGAGCCTTTATGGTTTGAATTATGCTCCTTGATCAGGATCAATGACAAATGGAGGGATAAAGAAATTTGGCAGATAATAATTGGATGTTGTATTTTTTTTTCAAACTGTCCAATCATGTGTCGACACGTATCTTCCCGATTTTTGAACATGTTTATATAATACAATTGTTATGATTTATGTTGGCAGCTTTCATGGTGGGACTGACTTATGATTTTTTAGTCCTTATTTGAAATTAATTAATTTTTTTACAATTAATTTTTAATTTTTTTTTTCAAAAAATCACTTCTCAAGGCGAAGTTCACACGATGACTTACTCTTTGGGTTTCTTTCCTTTTTATTAGAAATTATGATTAAAAATAATTATTTAATTTTTAATGAATATGATTGCATGTGGAGTATATATATCTTGTATTTCAATTACACAAATAATCTGCAATGAGAGGTTTCAAATAAAGTTCAAATTCGAGGTGTATTTATTACCTTTATTGACATATTTAGTACATGAATTAGAAAAACAATCACATTATATGTACAACTTTTGTTGACAACTACACACTTGACACAATTACGTCCATTCATTTTAAAAATTATTATAAACTGTTTTTTATATCAATGGTCCGAATTTTAACAATGTATAATTGTTAAAGAAGTTGTGATCAGTTATTGTACAACTAACTTTATTGCTAAAAAACAATCATGCCACGCCCCCCGGGGCACATCCAAGTTGGTAAAGGATGGGCACTGCTGGGCTTG